CGAACTCCCAACGTGATTATTGTCTTGACTCCGGTGTAACTTCTGCTGCATATCTTACTTTCATCGTAGTTAATCCTCCACATTATCTCAACATATAGATTAAATAACAAATGACAATTGACTTCATCATCAAAATCCGATATTCAACGTGTTTTAGATAACTAAGTTATAAATCCTACAATAATATTATTGAGTAACTCCTTACTCGAAGTTGACATCGACGGTGTTAAAAGTCAAAGGTGAGACGCACTGGAACTTGGATGCAACGTTGGAAATCCTAAAACCTTAAGGCATAGGAATGAGCTAGAATGACATTTGTGAGTGAATGCGTACGTAGAGAGTTATCGACATCAGAAATGAAAGGTCGTACACCCCGTCAACATCCTCTAGAACTAGGCAAACAGTGTCCGGTACACATATCCAGCCGGTTAACATTATCCTGGTTTTTTTCCCTGTTCAAAAACCAATGTAACCCAACCAGTTTTATAAAGGGTATTCATGTCATCTAAAAAGTAGGGGTGTTATTTGAATTTTTTAATTTGTGATATTTTTTTAGAAAAAATGTATATATATATATATATATATATATATATATATATATACACACACAGGAGCAATATTGAATGTATCAACACAGACCGACTTTCTTTTTTATGGTGAAGCTGACAACAGTGAAGCTTTTTATGGTGTTTTCTTTTTTTTCTGAACCATCTGTCGATATGATCCTCATTCTAAGTGATTGCTTTCTACATCGCGTGCCACATAGTCACTGTAAGAGTCCGTAAAAGATGTCGTTGTGCAAGTTAATCAACAGGGATTTCAAAATTCTCTAGTAGAGGAGCCCCGTATTGTGTAGCATTGACTCTTCTCGTCTCATGAAAAGTGCATAGAGAAGCTGATTCCATGCATCCGGAACCCCAGGTAGGCACCAATGGCTGCAATCCTGCCGGTGGAGTGGAGCATGCGCAGTCTTACCAAGGTAGAATATAGACAAATGTCCGTCTTTCCTCCGAGCTGTCATCTGTGTCACGTTGAGCAAATCCAATCCCAACGCCTCACTTGTAGCAGTAGTAGTAGAATTCTTGTTCGATGGCGTATCACTAAATGGTTTCAAGAAATGCGCCCATGCTTCCAAGGATGGTTGTGGAGGACTCAAGTCAGGCAGTGTCTCCAGGTGACAATTCCCTCCTGTTTTCCAGTTACCAGTCCTGCAAAGTTCAGTAATATTTCAAAAACCATCATAAAACTAACAACGATGAAATTGGATACTTATAATCTATTAATTATAACGTTTACATGATACAACAGTTGAGTTTCAAAAACCACCCTGTCTCCAAAGTAGCCAATGATGAAGTACTTAATTAAAGAACATGCAAGTAACGGAAGGAAAGAGATCTACTTTTGCTTAATAAAGGCAATTAGTTATTTGGATTTCTAGGGAGGCAGCTTGGCCCTTTGAGAGATGCATCATGCCTCAAGTGCACCTTAATCGAGAATGTGAGCTTTTAACATAGCAAGGGTAAATGCACCTAAGCATGCCATTATAACTTAAATTTCAAGCCCAATCACAATAGACTCTAGAACACATTTGGAACTGCATCTGCAACCTCAAATGTTAAAATATGAGATTTTTTTTATAAATTATTCTAAAAATAAGAAACATGTCCCACACCATCATTAAATCTAATTGTTCAGGTAATAAATAAACAAATTATGGACATAGATAAAGCTGCACTTGTAAAGAAATTTCTCATCGATACTAAATTACTACTCTAAAGATATCGGTTCATCAATGTCAGTATAGTAGCAACCCACTCTATATACCCTTGTCATGGTCGATAAATATTGATTGGTAAAGTTCAAATAATATATTGACGTTTGCTCCTTAAACATTCTCATACTTGGATGATTGTCCCTTGCATAAAAGAGTATGCATTGGATAAAAGAATATATTTGTCAAGAATACTATGCAAAAGGCATCTCATAACCCTCGATTAATTAATTCCCTTGATCCTGATGACTCTTGCCATCATGAGAAGATATATTATCTAAATCTTAGCATATAAAAGAGATTTGAAATCCCTTGATTTGTGTAAATCCTACAATTTATGAGAAGATTATTTTTCAACTTATAATAGGATTGTGATGTACAAAGAAAATACAAAAAAATATCACATATAAAGTTTCACATTCATCTATGTTTTCTCAAATTCTCATTTCAGTCTTCTAGAATGTCTCGAAGGTCTACTCTCAAATTTAACTTCGTTAGTTTTCAAACTTACACTGATTTTTACTCCATCATTTTAAGTAAAGTTACTATGTGAAAGGATTTCATATCCCTTATTTCCCTTGATCATCATAATTTTTGACATATTCCCTAAATCTTAACATACAAAAGGATTTGTCATCCCTTGATTTGTGTAAATCCAATAATTAATTGGATTGATTTGATTATTTTTCACCCTATAAATAGGGTTGTGATGTGTACAACAAATACAAGAATCACATACAAAGTTTCTTCTTCATAAATCTCATTTTAATCTTCTCCAAGATATCTTTTCAATATAAAGGGATATATACATTATCCATGATGAAGTTTATCGTACTCTTAACTTGTGGAGTAACTACAACAACAATGATGTGACAGGGAGAGGAGCAAAAAGAAAGAAAAAAAAAAACTGAACATGGAGAAAACCAACAATAAACTAAACATTACATCAAAAAAGAAGAGCATGCAGTGAGAAAATATTTAATTAGTACAAACCTGAAATGAACAGGAGCATATGTGCGGAAGATGACTTGGGTCTTACTCCTATTGACTTCTTTATGAACCCATTCTAACAATGTCCGAATTGATCGCTGATATGCATCATCCACACTCATCTCCATCTTCACCTGATTTCCTTCTTCAAAATAGCAACCCCTGAAAAAAAGGAAGATATTTATCAAAATCCAGATACATACACAAATATTACATTCGTGTATTAGGTATGCTGCCACTGAAGATTTTACTTTCAACTTTCTCAAGTTCTAAGGCTTGACAATGATCAGCTTACAAAAGATGATCTATAATTAGTTAATGTGAAGTAGGAAGCATAATAATGAGCAATTTAAACACCAATGTTATTTCCTTCTTTTTTAACCTCTTTCGATTTGCGTAGGAAGGAGGTAGGTCCTGTTGAATCTCGGATTTTGATGATGAAGTCAATTGTCATTTGTTGTCTAATCTATGTGTTGAGATAAGTGTGCAGGATTAACTACGATGAAAGAGAGACAAGCAGCAGGAGTTGCGCCGGAGTCAAGTTCATGATCACGTTGGGAGTTCGAGAGTTCGACGGAAGTTCGGACGTCGTCGGA